TATTTTTTGTCATGTTTGACAGGTCCAGGTGTCTTTTGGTTCTTTGCCTCTGCTGAAGTCATTCGAAGAAACAAATCTAAAGAAATCCTGCTTGGCAGAGGGTAGGAGAGAAACGTTAGGACAGAAAGCATCAGGATGACTCTTCAAGAAAGGGAATGTCTGAATGTTAAGAGGACTACAGACAGGAGAAAACATTCAAGAAAATTTATCAAAGTATTCTTTGTTCCTGTTGAAACCTCATCATCAATGTTAGTGTCTTTAGAAGCCCACTCAAATATATTATTTTACTTTGATAGAAGACAACTTGGAACCATATAAAAGACTGCACTGGTACTATCATTCCATTTTACAGATGAGAAAAGTAGCTCATTTGGAACATAATGAGCTAGGTTTTACGGATTAATCTAGAAGATGAACTGAATTCTGTATTGTATTTCATTTTCTCTGTCCTTTTCCACTGGATGTACATACCTACATTTAATTTTAAAGTTATCGATCTAAAGCTGGCTGCAGAAGCTGTCTCATTCAGACAGGTCCACGCTTGTCAGGAAGACAGGTCTGTCCAGGCAGACCTTTTAATTTGTTCTATATTTCATTTCAGGCCACAGCAGGCCAAATAAAGAGGAAATGAAGTGTTTTATAGCAAATAACTTACTTTTGAATACACATGTCTTGTACGGACAGGCCTCCCAATTTGATGTTAGAAGGGGCCACAGAGTAGTTAAGATAGTTAATATGTAGTCAAAACAGAAGCAACTGTGTTCCTTAAGAAGGTAAGCGAAAAAAATCAACATATTAAAAATATTCAAGTTGAGTGGTAAGAAACTCCTTTTACCCAACCTTTGATTTATGGGGAAAGGCTAAACATGGAAATAATTAATTTTAAAATCTTCTTTATATTAGATATAGAAGTATTGGTGTTAAGAAATCTGACAGTAAGTAGAGTGTATAGGAAGAAAGACAGGAAAATTAGCTAACAAGTGATTTTTCTGAATTGAGTAGAGCTATGGTTAAAAACATACGGAAACCTCTTTCGAGTATATTTTTTTCTTACCAATATATATGATACTTAGATTTTATAGTGAACATTTGCCTATTCAACCCAATATAATATTTCTTATAGTTTAGTATCAACCCCTATCATTATCTGTGAGATAAAGGAGTGGTCTGTATTCATGGGTATACGTATTTATACACATTTCTGCATGCTGTACACAAACATGGTAGCATTGTGCATGAACATATTAGCACTGTGCATGTACTAAAATTTCAATTTTTTCACATAGTAAATTGTTATAAAACAAATCATATATTGGTAGGAAAGGTATAGAAAGCAAAGTTATTTAAAGTGGATTTTTAAAAAAGATTCAATTTTTTTTTTTTTTTTTTTTTAAGAGTAGAACCATTGTTTTAAAAAGGAAACAGCTTTAGATAGTAAATTATTTACAGCCAGGGCTCAGTCCTGAGCATCCTGCGAAAACCACACGAGCTTGGTCAAGGTTCTAAGCAGTCACCGGTGGGAGATGGTCATGGTCCCGTCACAGCATAACTCACTTGAGGCTTGAAAAGCTTCCGTCCAACTGCGGTTTGCAGTGACCTTTCTCTTCTGCAAAGCCCACGGTTACCGGGTGGCCACCACCAACATAGCCCTGCCTCGCTGTTCTGCGTTTCTCTCAATGGGATCAGTCCTGCTGAGTTCCCATGCCTTACTGCTGTCGTGCTGTGTCCTCTGTGCCATTTCAAGGCGAGGGCTTATGAAACTTTTACTCGCACGCTATTTTTGATATGCGGTGGCCTCAGCTGTGCAGCGAGAGGTTGATAATTCTGATTACTCCGGAAATCCTGGGAAGCCAGAAGTGGGAGATAGGTGTGGTGAGGTGGCGTGGCTAGGGAGACCCCATCTAGTGGGTGTTGTTATAAGACCTGGGCGAATCCCTGTGGCTGCCACTCTCCTGAGAATGATCCCTGGGCCTTAGTCCCGCGCCGCGCCCACCTACACCTCCAGGTGTGCAGTCCCCGCCCTTAATTACTCTCACTAAAATTGATAGTTTACACTTGCAAAGCTACACTGGGAAAGCGGAAGAGAAATTTATAATCATGGATATGGAGAACTAGGGGAGCAGACACACTTGCTTTGGTTTACAGATCCAGTGAAGTGAAAAATCAGAACTAGAAACGTATGCACCTTCCTAGCAGCAAAGCCGCCTCTGCGTTCTTTTCAGCCTCCAGTGTAGGGCGGCGCTGGGAGAAACTTTGCGCCTTCTGGAAAGTTTAGAAAATGAACCACGAAAGAGAGGCCACATTTCGGGGGTTTGTGGGCCCCGCGATGTTTTCCAGAGCTTTTCGAGTGGCAAGAGGAGAGCGACAACGTGAAAATGCCCCGTGCCGTGCCGGGGCGTCCACCGGAGTTCTGCCAGCTGTCCCGCGCTGGGGTGAGCTCAGGAGGGGCGGGGGTGGGACCCGAGCTGGC